TATATATATATACTGTACATTTCTGGGCAATCCATCACGAAAAACATTAAATCCACAGGAATGTGACAGATGTCTCAATGCATATACATAAACAATACTTTCTTGCACTCTTTAATAAAACTTAAAACTTTTATACAGCATMTGTGGCGTTGTAAATCAGTTTTAATTTTTAGATGGGAGTATAAACCCTTATTTTCTTGTTTACTTCCCTGGTGAGGATCAGAAATAGAGACAGACTCTGCATAAAAAATAGGGACTTGTTAAGCTGTCMAAACTCACAGTTTATAGTAGATCAGTTTTAAAAGTGTTTTAGTAATTCACAACAATGCTCTGAAGTGGAGAGAGAAATGATAAAATCACAATGTGGATGTCAGAACTTATTCAGCAAATGTGTTTATTTTCCCTTATTGCACATTTACTCTTTTTCGGAAAATCCCCGAAACACTTCAAATCGAGCGTAAAACTTTTTTTTCCTTATGTGAAATTGAGGATATTTATCCGCCAAACGGTACCGTTTCCATCAAGCTTTTCTAATGCAATGCACCAAAATGCCCATAAAAAACAGATGAAAGCATTGTTTTGTCATTCTTGTATAAAAAGGAAAATAAAACAAGATAAGATTTGCAATAAATTGCAGAAATTTCAAACTTTATCACTTTAAAATAAACTTGAACAAACAAGAAGAGACTCACCGCATTCCCACTCATATGTTTTAGGTCCGTCGGGCAGATTAAAAGCTTCGAGTTTGATCGCCTGATTGGTAGAACTTACTGAAGCGGATGGAAATGCTCTGATGTCCCAAGTAGATCTTACAAGTCTTACATGCTGCTTCCTCTGAAATCCAACAYGTTTTATCACTATTGCATGAAAAGCTACCGTTTTATTTAATTRAATTTGCATCAAACTTTGAGTGTTGAGAAATAAAATACCTTTTTGCTGTTAAAACTCAACAGGCGCTCATCAGCTTTTTGTTTAGCGACCGAGTTCTCATCACCAGAACCAAACGTCTCAACTTCCAGAGACGAGAAGACGTTCCAGGCAAGTATTTTCACTTGGACAGACCCTTTAAAACAAACCATAAAAAATGATTGATCACATTTATTTTAGAATTTAAAGGTTTCAATCTATATCTGAAATACCTTGAAGTGAGTGTCTGATGTGAAAAATCTTCCTTTTTGTGTTCATTTCTCTGGTTTCAGAGAAGGAGTTATTGTCTCCGGTCAGTAAGAAGTGGAGGAAMACGGGTTCTCCTCGCTTCAATGAAACACCAAGAGTGATGCACGGAGATCCTGAACAGTCATGCTTCATTTTCAGGATGGTGGCCTGAAGCATGGATAGCTTCTCCAAAATGCAAACCTGCAGTTTACAGAAATTTTTTATTATATTTCCTTGTTGGTGAATCTCAGACATGATTTAAGTCACTGATTCAATCACAGTCATCGAACTGAGCAATT